TTGACTTGATTCACACATGTTTTGTTGCACAAATCAAAATTAAAAAAAAAAAAAGGAAAGAAATTCAGAGGCCTGAGAAGTCTTCACAACATGCTGGCTGTTGGAAACATCTGTTTAAACACTGTTCATGTTTTCTTTTTCACCTTTGGCCATGTCCTTGGTAGATTTTTGTCTCCCAGGGTGACCCCATGTCTGGCTATGGTGGCAGCTCAGAGCAGAACTGTGCTATGATCCTTTGCCTCCTAGCATAGCTGGGCCCAGATGTCTCTGGACTATTGAGGATCTCTCAGCAGATCAAGGCCTGAAGTTTTCTACTCTTGGCACAGAAGGAAGGGGCTGTCTGGGAATAAGGACAAGTAGTTATGGTCTACCTGGGGACTTTGTGGAAGAAGACGAGAGTTAGCCTCCTGTGCCTGGGTCCTGTCCATCTGGTAACAGGGCAGAACCAGGATGACTGTTGGCCTGGGCATTGGAGGACCCATGGGTGGGTGGCTGACATGCTGCCCTGGAGATGTAAGATTACATGGGTTGAAACCTCAGTGACCTTTCCAGAGCTCTAAGGAAAACCCTTTAGACAAGAATAGAGATGAAAGTCATGATCTGGAGCATGATTTTTTTTTCTAAGATCCAGAGTCTCCATTGAGATAAGGCAAAGAAAGATTTGTTCATGTTTCAGGCTGAGCAGTGTGAGGATCTCTGAGACCAGTTGCAAAAAGTGACTTTTCACTACAAACCTGATATTAATTAATTCATTCCTCCTCACTTAATGAATGCCATTCATTAATTCATTCTTTCTCCCTTGACTCCCATAAATATTCATTGGGCATTTACCATGTGCCAGGCTCTGAGGATGCAGGAGTGAGAAAGATTTTAGGACTTGTTCTCATGGAGCTTTTAATCACTTAATTTAACACTTCTGTGACTTCGCTGAACCTTCCTCCAATCTAGGCCCATTCAGAAACTGTGGTTTAGACGTTTGAAAAATAGGGATATAATCCCTAATTCCATTGCATTTGAAAACTAAAAGAATAGCACATTGTTGAAATCATGTACATGTACAAAACCCTGGCAAGTTTTTAATTTTATAGAAATGAGTAGAATTTTTCTCATGAATGGAATAAGTTCTTAGCAGCTTTCTATCAAACCACCTTTCAAAATGTCATGAGGCTAGAAGCCTCATGAATAATACGCAGTTTTGAAAGCATAAAACCATTTGAAAATAACCGGGTACTCTCCTTGGTGCTGAAATAAATTTCTTCATCTCCTATTAACCTGTAAGACATTTTAACTCCGTGGACATCTTGCTGAATGATAAGAAGCTACTGGAACTGGAGTTCTGATCTGCTGAATCATAGGAAAAATAAACGATAAAGTGGAGATCAATAAAATCATTTATTGAACAGGAAGATTGGAAGATATTTTTCCTGTCATTGCACAGATCTGTGACTATGACACAGCAAGAGAGCAACATGGAAGTTGGCAGGGTCTGGAAATAAATACCCTTTTCTCCTTCTCTATGGTCATTTCCCACTTTCAATGTGAGACCCAGTCCCTCTGAGTGGAGTAGTTACCAGTCATGAGATGACAGAAGGTCAGTTTGTCTGTGTGACTAATATCTTTAAAATATTCCTCTTCTACCCACCACACCTTTTCCCCTCAGGCTATGTGTCACCTCTATCTATTCTTTAGGTTTCTTGCAGAATAAGATTCCTAAGTCACAGCATTAATGTCTTTGACAACTACCGTTGGCAGTTGAACAAGATCTGTTGCACTTTTGATCACTACAAGTAAAACAAAACAAAACACACACTTTACAGTCTAATCTCTCATTCTCTGGTGGACATTACTTACTGATGAATAGAAATGTGAGATGGAGGTCAGTGTGCCCAGGAGCAGGTGTAAGATGTGTGACTTTTTTCTATTTCTTACTTTCTAGGTGCTAGCCACCTAACCTGAGTTATGTATGATTTTTAAATAATGTCAAGCAGGGGAGATGGTAGGTAAGTATGACTTACTATAGGATATAAAGACAGTAGTCTATCATCAACCTGCTAAGAAAACTTAAATTCAAAGAGCTGAGTTACATCAATTATTGTTTCTATTTTCTTCTAACGTAACAATGTCAGTCATGCATCTCAGCCTGAAAGGGTAGAGGCAAAACAGGGACTGAGAAATTATCTCATATTCAATAGTTTAATCATTATTCATTCATTTGTTCAGCTAATTCATTCATCCAGCAAATACTTAATGAAATTTCAGGCTTTTGTATTATGAAATCACCCAGGCTTCTCCTTAGTGTTTAAAAATTATAAATAAAGAAAATATAATACCCACCTCTTTAGGATAATGTTATTAACTTTGGAGGATGAATATTATCCTGTATATCAGTTAGAGTACTTTTGGTTGCAAAGAACAGAAAAAAAAAACCAACCCAAATTGGCCTTGATATTAAAAGGGGATTTGTCAGCTCTTCTAATTACAGAGACTCAGGTGGGCTCCTGAGGTCTGAAGATGAGAATCAGCTTTCCCTGAAGCAAATGGTTTTGATGGGGATGGGTGGATACCCAAACTGAAGAATAGCTATTAGATCTGTACAGTGTAAATAAGGACAACATTACCTATCTTGCAGGATTTGTTGTAGACTGAAGAATTACCACGTGTAAACTGACTAAATCACCATACGTATTTGATAAATTGTAGCTACGATGTTTATGGCTTTCAATACGTTTAAACTTTTGAAGGGTTTTTTAAGGGTAGGAACTGAGTAGTGTATATCTTTATAGCCCTTTTAGTGCTTGGCTCCGTAATTCACATGGTAGATAGTCAATAAATGCTTGTGAAACAACAACAACAGCAATAATAATTTTCAACACTATTGAAAATAACTTAAGATGATTGAACCCAATGAAGCCATACGATGCTTCCAACCACCCTTCTTTGTTTAGCGCATCTTGGGAAAGGATCCTAAGCTGTTTACTATTGTTTCTTTTTTAAAATTTTTATTTATTTGTTATTGTATTACTTAATTATTTTTTATTTTTGTGGGGAGGTAACTAGGTTTATTTATTTTTAGAGGAGGTACTGGGGATTGAACCCAGGACCTCGTGCATGCTAAGCACATGCTCGACCTCTTGGGCTATACCCTCCCTCTGTTTCTTTATTTGTATCCTGCCTCATTTCCAAAAGGACATAGGGGGATAAAGCTCATGTCAGTAGAGGGCCCTTGTTAATTTTTAAAATCTTTAACAGCAGTAAAAGGAAGTTGCGGAAATCAAAGACAAGCTAGCAGAGATTTTAATTACTGTGGGTTTCAATGTGTTGTGTGTTATCTCTGCAAGGAGGCCTGAGGTGTTGATGTCTTTCCAAACTGGAGAGGAACAGTTGCTTTGGAGGATTAGCTGATGTCATCTAATACAGTCATATGATTTTCTGCTAATAATAATCAAGTGTTTGGGGAAAAATTTTAAACTGATTATTAAAAGTTAGTGAAATATGAAAAATATTGTTAGAATTGAATTAATTATTGTGATCTGACCTCAGTTGATTATCAAGGAAGTTTATTTAAAAAAAAAAAGCCATAGAACTGTTTTAGGTGGTGGGAACTGCAGTAAAAGCTGAAGATATCTAGAGATGCATCTAAAATAGCAACATATGAAAAAAGTTAATTGACTAAGATTTTGATTATTTTGCCATATTTAAACACTTATAGATTAATAAAAAATAAGAAGGATCAGTGTCTCTTAGTAGAACCATCCAATATGGTTTATTTAAAAGGAAAGTCATTCTAAGGAGAAAGTTAGTGTTCCTTATTAACAGTGAAATCTATATTGTTCAGGAATTTTTCCAATGATTTGCAGTTGATTCTGTCGTGGAGAATGAACATACATTATTATTTTCCTCTTAGATTAGTTATTAAAAATGAAGACTGCTTAGTTAATTATGATCTCTTTTTTTGTACCTAGGGTTTTCTTTATGTCCAAATGAGATCTAATGACCATATTAGTCATTAGAACAATTTACCAGAAACAAAGTGACTTACTGAAATTATTTAAGTCCTATTGATGATTTTATAATTGAACGTCTCTGGAAATGAACTTGCCCTAATTATAAGAAGGACTTGATATAAATTTAAGAAGTTGAATCCTTACATTAAATTGATAATGTTGAAAAACTATTTGCTATCTTGGCAGCAACTACAATAACATTTTCCTTCTTTCTGTGAGTTGATTTACAGCTTGAGTCCAAAGAGAGCATTAGCTGGATACCACGGAAGCTGGGAAGTTGATGCCCCTTGGGATTCCACTCAGCATTTTAGCTTACAATACTCGAGTGAGAACACAATGGAGACAATATTGAAGTGCCCGGAAGAGAAATCTTGGAGAAGTGTGACTCACTCCATTTATCCCAACGGCCTTATTTTACTTTTTAAACAAAAGGCACAATATAAGTATTGCACTATACATATAGTTAACATTAGTTACCCAAGAACTTTGTTTTATTTAAATCACATCTGGAAGGAGGAGGCGGGGCACTCAGGAAAGAGAAAAGCAAAGGCATTTTATTGTACTGCTTTCCAGAGATACTTTTCCATTAATCATTTATTAACTCATTCTCTGACCCTCTGAACTTCCTCCGCCCATATCCTACTTTATTATCAGATGGACTTGAATTAATAGATATAGGTAGAACTTTTAAAAGGCCATTTCATCAAATATTCAATTTGACAGTAACATCAGCCTTGAGTTCCACTACGGATAATAAAAATCTCATCTTTTCTTCACACCTTGATTGACTCTTCTCCCCATCCCCCAATTTCTTTTCAGCAATTCAGGTCCACGACAGTGAAGCAATGTGCAGATTATGCAGCAAATGGTGCCTATTGTGGCAGGAAAAAAAAATTTCCCACAGATTTGCTATTTGGTTTTATTTAGAATGTGCAGGAAATGTCTTATTTTGGAAGGAGGATTTCAAAAACTTGTGCATACATCTTATATTATCAAAGCTAAGGACATTTTTGTGATGAACAGTTTCAAATGGGCACAAAAGAAGAGAGAAAATAACAAACTAGTATCAATCAAGTTAAAAAGTTATCAAGATTTCCTTGCTTTATTTTTTATTTTCCCACCTCTGTTAAAATCTTTATGGGGAAACAAACACCACTTAAATTTGCTCTTACGTACTTAAATATCTCTAAAATATATGAAACTTTTCTTACATAAATGCAGTTCTATTATTACACTTAACAATTTTAATAATTCATTGGTATCATCTAATACCTGGCCCATAACCATATTTTCATAATTGTCTCAAAAATGCCTTTTTACAGTTCGTTTGAGATGGTGCATGCATTCTATTCAGTTTTATGTTTCTCAAATCCCTTTTTTCCCCCTCAAATTCTCTTTTAATCTGGAGCAGACCTCCTTTCATTTAAACAATTCCTGCCAGTGAGCTATTGCAGAAACGGGGTCACTTGTCTTATGAACTTTTTCACATTCTGGAAGTACCTGTTTGTTTCCACGTGGTCGCTCAAATTCTCCCTGTGTTTCTTGTAAATGGAAGTCAACTTTCTAGTCTTGATTAGACTCAAGATCGTCTTGTCAAAGAATAATGCAACTCTATTCAGTTTAATTAAAAGCACAGCTGACCTTTCCTCACATGTGATGGAACCCCATCATGGCTCCAAGGCAAGGGGTGGTTTATAGAAGCAAAACCCACAGCATCTGAGGAACGGTGAAATATTATTTTTTTGTGAAAGGATTCCTTAACATTTATCAGGGGAACAATTTTCTCAAAGCAAGGTGGCATTTATCAGGAATGGGCAGTTGTCAGGGAAGGCAACTTTAGGTATTTATGAGTTTTCTGAGAAATCCTGTGGCTGAAAGTGATATGTTTTGTTTCTGGGTATGGTTCTCACTGGACTCTTGGCTGGACTTCTGCTGAACTCTCCTCCTTAGTGATGGTAAGACCACACTGTTTCCCTATTAGAATAACTTTGTCCTGCTTCTGGTCAAAGTCAGCTGAGTGAACCATGGTGGCTTCGGCCTTTTTGATGCCGTAGCATCAGCTGTGTGTCAGCCTGGCACAGTGGCTTAGTGGCAGTAGAATAATTTTTAAGCATCGGCATATCATTTAGTAAAAGTGACAAGATATGAATCATAAGCATCAAAAGAAATACTTGGAATCCCACTGTTTGTACTTAGTTTTTGATTGGCTTGGAACCAACTAGGAGTATAAGTCCCATGGATCAGTTTGGCCAACTTTAAAAATTGTTGTGCCTATTCTATGATCTTCTTCAGTCCTTTTCAAGACTGTATAATATTTAATTTACCATAATTTGTTTAACCAGTCCCTACTGATGAACTTTGAGTTGTTTCCACATTTAGTATTAAAAATAATTCTGCAAAGAATAACATTGTACATTACAAAATTCATAACTTGCCATTTCTTGACAAATACCTAAAAGTGAAATTCCTTTCACATATTGTCAAGTGAAACGCATCCTTGAATTTGGCTACAGATAGCTTATGCCAGGTCTTCTTTTAAATGCAAATAGATGAAAAACTGGACCAAAATTTCCAAGACACTATCCTGTGCCACACAAAGATGTGTAAGACACAGACTTTGTAATTAGGAGCTTGCAGTTTAATGAGAGAGATGGATATCCAAAAAGACTATTTCAGTGTGTTTTCAAATATAAAGCATTTGCAAAGATCTATATGCGGACTCGGAGTCTTCAAAAACAAGATGGACAGAAACTATGCAGGCAAAATTATTATATTTATTTTACATCTATTCCTTGACTATTATTGGTCTTGTTTGTTCTAATTCTTATTTGCAAAGTGGCCCCAGAAGACTAACGAATCAAGCTGAGTAGATTAAAAGCAAAATGTAAATAAGGAGAGAAAATTACTCATGTGAAAGGCAGAATACAAGGCTAATTAATACATTCTTTGGGTCCTAGTGAAGAAGGAACTCTGCAGTTCATATTTAAAATCAGGGTACTTTATGAAAACAAAGAAACTTTGAATTCTCTCTATATTCAGTATCTGAATGTTTTCCCACTTGGGCTGAGTGAGGTTTCCTCCACCTGATGAATCATTATGCCCAGGGGCCCCCAATGTTAGATTAGACGGAATGCTTTTTTACCACGTAGTCACCTGGACTTGCTTTCTGCCTGAGGTTTTTAACTCCCCTTCCTTTTCTAGAGGCTTCAGAAGGTCTATTATTATTAGGAAAGGACCGTTCTAATTTTCCGCTAAAAAGCTCAGTTAAAGATCAATGTTATTCCTTCCTACTTGGCATTTGAGTGATTAGAAAAACTTTTCCTCACTTGTTAGATGCTGAGGAAACTAACCGAAAGGGGGAATCCTGGGACAAAGGCACATGAGCCTGTTTCCTCACTGGAGAAGCTGTTCAGGAAGAGCTGCAGGTAAGTGAATTTCTCCTTCAAACAAATGTCAGTCCAGACTAGCACTATGTATTGCAATGCTGCCCTGGGGAGAGGGGAGAAAGAAAAGAATGTTAAGGAGATGTCTTGGCTAATAGCCTTACGTGAGAAATAACCTGCCATTTCTCAATCAACGTCATTTCCATGTCCTGCAAGGAAATTATTTATGGGCAGAGGTTATCTGGCAATTCATACATCATTTTGATCCACATCTGCCCTCTAGGTTTGGTCAGATGGATTTAGAGATTTAATTTAAAAAAAGTATCACTTTCAGCTGCTCCTTTCCAGTTTGGTTGACCTCCCAGGCTGAGGTTGTATTTGTATTCATGGACTTACTGTATTTTCTTCCTTCACGCCAGGTAGAGGGGAGTACTTGAACACATATCATGAGGCATAATAAAATCATAAGCGTTAGAGATGGAAAGAAATATGAAATTGACCACCTAGCTACAAAATAGGACTTACATTCCAACGTATGCTCATCAGAAGAAGACACAGAAGCCTGTTTCTCAACGGCTTCCAATTCTTTTTGATTTTTAACTCATCGAATAGATGAAGTATAACCATTTCATATTAATAAGTGCACATTTTTGAGACTTACCTTGTAGTAGTCATTGTGGGCTTAATCTATACATTACTGAATTTGATTTAATCCTCAGGACAACTTGATATGATAGATACTATATCATTTTACAGGCGTGGAATCTAAGGGCTAGGAGAGCCTAATAATTTGTGCAAAGTGACAAAACCACTAAGATTTGGGCCCAGGTCTACCTGATTCCAAAACATGTGCCCTTAGTAACTATGCTTCCTCTGTGTGGAAACTTAAAAAAAATATTTTGGATTTAGAACATTATTTTAGAGTTTATATATATGTTAGAAATTTGATGTGCTATCTTGGGGAATAATGAGAAGGGGTCGTGACCAAGGATTTGAAGTCTGGGCACCAATTTCTATGGCAGAATATGTGGATTCTAACCATCTATATTTATTTAGTTCTGTGTATATGAGTGAATAAATGGGATAGTAAGTGTTTAACTAAGAAGTTATTATTTATACATGCACAGTTATGGACATACACAGAAATTCCTTAGCTGGTTGATGGGATTGCTACATGCATGTTCCTGCTGATCGGGAGCCGAGTACACCATTTCCTGTGGGATTGATGTTATTCATCATGTTTATGCATTAAGACTAATCTGTAGAAAGCCCACAATTTTATTTGTTTTTTGTGGTCACATCCTCAGACTCATGAATGCTGCCTGGAATATAGTAGACAATAAAAAAACATTTTGTTGAATAAATGAGTGAAAGAAACGGAAGAATACCGCTAATCCCATTAAAGACGTAATTGTTATTTATATTATTATAACCATTGGAGGATACATTCAGAATTCTAGCTTGGGATGTCAGTAATTTATCTCTCCTCCCTCCTTTCCTGAATACACAAAGGTCTGAGTGGAGACCCTTCATCTAGTTACTAATTTATTTTGCACAACTTGGGAAGAGGTCTCCAGTAGGCTTGGGATCATTGCTTTAGAATGAAGGGCTGAGAAGGGCACCCTGGAGGCTGGGGGCGGAGGCTCCCGGAAGAGGATCTTGAAGAGGTGTAGGGGTGTGTGGCAGGGATGTGAGGGCAGGTTAGTGTGTAGAAGGAAGGGAGGAAGGGAAATCTTCACTGATAATAATGTAGAAAGAAGAACTCCTGCAGCCTGATGTGTGTGTGTGTGTGTGTGATGGGAAAATACAATTTTTATTGTAGAGTTATCATAGGAATCAATCCATTCCTAGCCACGGCATAAGTATATGCATTCAAACTTCAAATCTCAAACCATTCATAAGGAGCAATCTTCAAAAGAGACAGGAGATTCAGCCATACCAGACTAACAGGATTTGGGAGTCAGGGAAATTGCGTTTAGCATAAAACTGAGGAAAATGTAGCTCTTACTCTATTTTTGATTCATTCGTATTTCTTGAGAAGAGCTCCTTATAAGCAAATGATGTTTTGTGAGGCAAAAAGAGTCCAAGGAAACAAACAGAACACTTCCACAGAAATGCTTGGAAGTAGGTTTGCATTTCTTGTTGCCTTATCAGTCATTATTGACTCCAAAAATACTAGCAACTCTGGAAGAAATGGAAGGCATTTCATTTCTCTCCCGGTCCACATGAGCTTCCCAGAAGACCTTATTAGACTTGGAAAAACTAACGAGAATGAGGTCAAAGCAGGGAAAGGCTGTTGCCTCTGCAGTAGGAAAGGGGACTCACCCCAGAAGTGGAAGGGAATAAAATGGAGCCCTTGAAGAAACTGACTCCCTGATGAGCCTCTGTGTCAGAGAACTGAGTAGGTCGCAGGGGAGGCCCCCTGCTGAGCAAGACGGCGCCCGTCTGGCTGCGCACCCTTGTCAGGACTGCTTCGGTTTTTTAAGCAAGTTCGTCACTTGGAGCAGCTTCTGGGAGAGAAGTCTGCCATTGCTCCTGAGTGGAATTACTGATCAGGAAAACTTGTGAGACATCTTTCTAATTCATGCTCAGATAAAAAAAAAAAAAGAAAAACCTCTCTGGTAGGGAAGGAGGAAAACCCTGTGTGAGTCTCTCATCTGAGTAACTTCTGGTTTGGGGCCTAAGTTGGCGGTGTGCTCTCTCATGACAGCTACATGCATTGTGAGCCATTTTAGAGAGAAAGCTCAGCCTGGAAACGTGAGACGCCTGACCTGGTGCCCTCCCTTCCCAGCTCTCCAGTTCCCATGGCAGCAGCTCCCACACCAGAGAGCAGAGGGTCACCTTCGTGTCTGCGTCATTTTTGCTTCCAGTGTGTTGCAGGGAGCTTTAGAAAATTCTAGGCCTGGAGACCAACCTTAGTCACCGTCCTGATGGGAGGGCCTTTTTTGTTTCTAGTAACCAAGCTCTTGCCTGCTTCCTGTGGGCAGCTCACTGCCTTCTTTCGGTAGCCCAATCCTAGGCATAGCCCTGTCTGTCCTGGTTCTCCTGTAACACTGCAGCCTTGCCTCACACCGTCTCAACTCTCCCAGGGACCGGAGTGCAGGCCCTGAATCACGGCCTCCTTGGCCGGGTCCTTGCTGCCTGCTGATCAGCTTGCTGACTGCACGACTTCCTGGGCACCGTGCCCCTGGGCAGGGGCCCCCTCTGAAGCCAGCTGTGTTTGGAATGTAAGGCCCATGAAGGCAGAGATCCCTTCTGTCTTGTTCAGCATTATATCTCTAGGGTCCCAAATGGTGCCTCGCATGTACTCGGTGTCTAATAAGTTGTTTGTTTGTTTGTGTTTTTTTTTCGCTATTAGTATCACTCTAGGCAACTGTGTTGCCCCAACTAATCCATCTTATCTAATTCTGGATGTCTGAGGTCTGACCCTCCCTCCCTGATTGATTCCCAATACAGACATCCGTAATTTGGTTGGAGTCCCACACTGATTATTATTCATAGGAATACTTAGCACTTTTCATCATCAAAATGTCTTCCAATTTTAGTTAATTAATCAACCACAGATTTGTATGGAAGTGACTATAAAATCTGACGTGTGCTGATAAATCACTGTAAAGTAGCATGACGGTTTATATGGAAGGAGATGAGAGTGAAGTTTCTTTCAGATTAACTATTGTCGGGAAGTCAACCTGAAGAGCCTGGTGTCCCCATAGTTCCCCAGATCACCTTTGTACAATGAGTCAGGGGTACCTGGCTTCAATCTTGAGCCCATCAATTCCTGCCTGCCTATCGTGGGCAGGACTTCTCACCTGTCATCTCAGCATCCTTGTATGTGAAATGAGGGTGATGCTAGTACCTACATCAGAAAGCTGTGAAGATTAACGCAGAACACTGGAAACTGCACTTGGTACAAAGGGAGGGTTCAACCTATAACTAACAACCGTGCAACTCCATAAAATTGTTAGTTAACTCAGAAAGGTGACAGGTCCTGAAATTTTGAAGCAGTGGAAATTTACTTTCTGATGCAGTTCAAAGAGTGGGAAGGCTGTGGAGCCAGAGGACCAGCACTTCCTCTTCTCGTGAGATGGATGAATTTGGACAAACTGACTGAGTCACAGGAATGCAATGGAATAAAGCCGTTTGGAACTTGGTCTCGTATCCTGGCATCTATATCTATATCTTCCTAATCTATAAAGTGTGCATATGAGGAATTACTTTTCAGAGAGTATTAATCAAGGCAATGTTTATAAAGCTTAGGGCCCAGCAGATGGTAGGTACTTGATAAGTAGTTATTATTCTGGAAAAATAAAAATATTTTTAGTGCTTAATATCATGTATAGAGTTAGATCTAAAGACATTTTAGTTAATGAAAATTGAAACATACCTACCTTGGATTTTAAGTGAAACCATAATGTTTAGAGCTTGAAGGTCTGAAAAAAATTTCTACTTTATTAAAAAAAAAAGCAAAATAATTTTCAGAAAAAGGACATTTTCCTCCAGTTCTCCCTTTTTTTCCTTCTCTGAATCTTTGGAAGTCTGCTTCACTTGAGTCCCTCACTCTACTGATAATGCAGATTAGGTTTCTTTATTCTATTTTGGAGTTTTCCAATGCAAAATTCCTTTCTTTGGTAAAAATCTCATTGCCCTTGAACTTAGATCTTTTCCCCCTTTACATCTGTATTTCTTGACATCATTATTATCACCCTCCATCATTTAATTTTGGGTTCGCATTCCTTTTATTTGTGTTCACTCTCTGCATCTTGATTGCCACCTCTCTCCACTCATTTCTGCCAGCTTTGAAATGTGCCCTGGCACCCACCCAGGCCCAGGGTAGACCAATGCCATCACATGAGTGACTGCAGAAAGCCTTGCACGGAGTTGTCTTAGAGTTTCAGAGGGGGTCTATGGCCAGGCAGCTGGGGAAGGTTATACATGAGAGAGCTCATTGGCCTAGGTGATGTTTTAAAGTCTCAGTCTTTGTCTAACTCAGAAGAGCTGGGCAATGCCATCAGATGTCTTTTTTACCATTGCCCTTATTGTGGTAAGTGTATCACATGAAAAAAGGAATTTATGCCGTTGTGTCTTTGTAGGAAAGGAGAGAGAGGGTAAAAAGGCCTATTTTGGTAGTTTATAGGGCAAAGACGTGTATGGAGGAAAAAAATACATCCTTGCAATGTTAGTAAACAATTTTTATTTATTTCAAAAGTGTTCAGAATTGCCATAAAGTTCTTTTTAAGAAAAAATATAATTTTTGGCTTTTATATTAATACAGTATAGAATTATTGTGTTTCCCCCATCAACATCTCATTCCTTCAGTTTAAACCAAGTGCACAGATAGAAATGTTGACATAGATTATTTCCAACTTCAGTCCCCTTGGAAGAAGATCAACTAGCCGCTATCCATTGACAAGACACCACTGTGAAAATCCCAGAAATCCAGCGGTGAGGCAGAAGCACCCACTTCAAAGCACAGAGATCCAGAAAGACCCAACCTTCTCTTGGGAGGTGAGGAGGAGCGGCTACACTCTGACTGCATTGCCCCTCCCCTGGGACTGCACCGCGACACACCAAGGGGCCTCTCTGGGCCTCTGGGTTTTCCACTGGGGAAAACAAACAGCCCAACATGGACATCCAGCTTCTTTATCATTGCTTGGTGCTTCCCAAGAAGCCCAGGGAAACCTGCACGGCTTGACTACTGAGAATCAGATAGAAACAGAGGATGGAAGAACTTACAGCAGCCAGCGCTGTCCCTGTTAGAGTGGCTACTATCAAAAAGACAAGGAGTAACAAAAATATGGGGAAAGGGAACCCTCGCGTACTGTTGGTGGAAATGTAAATTGGCGCAGCCACTATGGACAATAATATGGAAGTTCCTCAAAAAATTAAACATGGAACTACCATATGATTCAGCAATTCCACTGGAATATATATCCCGAGAAAATAAAATCACTGTCTTGAAGAGATATCTGCACCCCTATGTTGATTGCAGCATTACTTACAGTAGGCAAGTCATGGAAACAACCTGTGTCTGTTGACAGGTGAATGGATAAAGAAAAGGCGAATGGAAAGAAAATAATGAATAGAGTATATATATATTTGAAATTTTTATTGAAGTAGAGCTGATTTACAATGTTAGTTTCAGGTGTACAGCAAAGTGATTCAGTTGTACATATACGTACATATAAATAATGAATAGGGTATTGTTCAGCCATAAAAAGGAGGGAAATCCTGCCATTTGCAACAACACAGATGAGCCTTGAGGACATTATGTTAAGTAAAATAAGTCAGGCAGAGAAAGACAAATACTGTCTGAGCTCACTTATATGTGGAATCTAAAAAAAAACTACAACTCAAAAACAGAACCAATTGGTGGTCGCCAGGTAAGAGGTGAGAGGGGAAAATGGGGGAAGGCAGTCAAAGGGTAAAAACTCCCAATTGTAAGATGAGTGAGTTCCGGGGACAGAATGTACAGCATGGTGACTGTAGTTAACAAGAGTGTACCGTATTTTTGAAAGTTGCTAAGAGAGACGATATTAAACTGACAAGAACAGATACTACACTTGATCTTAGCCAAAAGACCAAGAAGCGACTACCTCCAAACTTCTTTAAATCCTCCTTTTCTCCCATTGAACTGCTCAGTTCAGCTTGACAGCCCAGTACCTAATCTTCACAGAGCCCACTGTCCCTTCCCCACCCCACCCCGCTTTCACTCTCAAGTTCAGAGATTTTATTTCCTAGTCCCTGTTTCCTACACATCTGAGCTCTTTATTATGTAAATTGTCTTAACCTCTTTGCTAAACTGTTGTCTTCTCCTAAGAATACACATATTCTAAACCTGTTCAATTTGCTAGCCCCCCTGTAGCTACTGAGCACTGGAAATGTGGCTAAGCCAATCTGAGATATGAGGCAAGTGTATACACACTAAATTTCAAAGACTAAGTATGAAAAAAGAATGTAAACTATCTCCTTAATAATTTTAAAAATTGATTGCATATTGAAATGATAATATTTTGGATCTATCGGGTTAAATAAAATATATGATTAAAATAAAAAAAAAAACAAGTGCACAGGATTCACCTTCACATAACATTTCTGAGAGCTTGACGTGAGAAAAACTTTGCTTTTATTATGTAGTATTTTAAATATTCAAACTCTTTTTCTTCTAGGGCACGAGCCCATCATTTTTCACGTTTTCATTGTCGCCTCAATGAATGAACTTATTTCATTGCCACCAAGAGAAAAAAAGACCTTTATTACACTACAGAATCAAAAAAGATTATGAATAATTATTCATATAAGCTACATCTGCAAGGCAATTAGAAGGAGTCACTTGTTTTTTTTAACGTCTCTGCGAGATTCCTCCTCTGACTCTGCTATTACAGGTCGATGCTTCCAAATATGAAAAAATAGAAATAACCTGATTTTCAAATGGAAAAAGATACAGAGAAATAGTGCCTAAAAAAAAGTCAAATATCCACTCAAGTGCATTATTCCGAAGTATATCTTGTTTTATTCTTTTTCTTCCTAATCTGTCCCATTATTCATGAATAAAATGAACCCATTGAACCTTTTTGATTTAGTACCATTTGTTGAGCTTATCCCAGGCTAAACTGAGAACTAGGCAATGCCTGCTGTTAGCATCCTTTCTGAGCCACCTTATTCTGTCGCATTCATCTGTATGGTCCTCAGGCTACTTGGGGAGGGTCCCCCACTAAGTGCAACACTTGGTTCCTCCTTCCTAGATATTATCCCAGATCACCTTTTGATAGCGCATGTATGCAGAAGGTCATCTCTGCAAATGACCTACCATAGCTAGGAAAAAATGATGTATGATTTTTAAAACACAGAGAAATCCAAATGACAAATATCCCAAGGATAAAAAAATAGCACAGAGGAAAAGAATGGACGGTTATAAAATAAACTGAAACATTTATTCTAAGCATTAAGCAAATATAAAGTTAAGTAAACGTTGTCTTAATATCATTCAAATCTTGCCTTTTTTTTCAAAATGGTTTTATCCATTAGGAAAGATTATATTAAACATCATTTAAATATTCAAGCCCTGAGGCACAACAGGTCATGAATTGTATTAATTTGCACAAAATGAAAGTTTGCATAAATGGCCAAACATAGTTTCCATCCTAGAATATTTTATCATAATTATGAAAGATCGTATTCAAGTGCTAGTGGATGGCTTGAACAAACTGGAAACATATCACCAGTTCAGTGCTCTGACTGTGAAATGAGCAGTATTTACTCTTGAAAACTTCACTCAAGTAATGAGGCACATTAATTCTGAGCAGTGCTTCAGTTATTGCTCTGAATTTAATCTAATCTTTTAATTCTTCTCTGCCTATAAAAAATTCATGGACTGGGTTTCATGTATCCCCTGTTTCTGGTAAGCACATACCTTGCTTCTAATTTGAGATATAGCTAAGAACAAGACAGGGCAGGGGAAAATGCTTGATCTTGCTATAAAGTACAAAGTACACGACCAGAGAGAGCTCATTAAAGTCAGAAAATACCTTATGTGAAATTTTGTGAGAGTCTCTGACTAACTCTACTCTTGTGATAGTCTACTTTGGAATTCAAATACTACAAAAATACTCATTTTTTCCCTCTGTATTTCCCCGAGCTCTGAGATCACTCATTTCTGTCTCTGGTTCATCCTCTCTTTTCCTGCTTTTTGCACACCTCAAAACTCCTTCAAGTTCAGCCTACCCATGCCTGGCCCTTAACTATCCTCTCTTGTGTTTTATTTTTTTTTATTATTATTTTTTTAATGTAAGCTTTAGTTCACTGCTAGAGATTTTCCTCGAGACTTTCTTTACTCTTTCAATGGAAATGTGGCTTCCTCAAATGGCACTATAGATGTAGATTTGGATGTGGATATAGATGATAGACTGTTGCCTTCTTTTGTGATTTTTGTGAACTCAGAAAGGCTCCACCTGTTCTCAGCAATTCAGTGCCTTTTACATTTCAACTATGTCCTGCCTTTGCTTCATTTGGACATTGGGTCCATTCTACTGTTCACATTACTCTCTTCCTATTTCTTATCTCCCACTAAGCAATTAGCAACTTAAATATTCACATTGAACATAAGATGCCAAACCAAAGTTCCTTACTCAACATACTACCGGTGACCTTAACTTCCACTTCCTAACACTATTCTTATTACTCTCACATCCTGGATTTTGTCATTACCAACCCAGCTCCATTGCATAGATTGCCGACTTGTTTTTATCTGACACTGAGCTGACATTTTTTTTTGGTTACAGTTGCTACATCTTAGTCATTTTTTCAGGAACAAGCATTTTCTCTCTCCTCCTTTGTCCCCTTTGCATAGGTTGGTGCAGTAGAGAGAGTAAGAGGCAGAAGGTCTGAGTCTCTGTCTTCTTCCACCACGAGGTAGCTGAGTGACCTTAGTTCACTTCTTTGGTTTTTCAGCTTCTTTTTTTGCACAATGGAAACAAAATAAAAACCTATTTCACAAGATGAAGTGAATTCTCAATGGACTGAGTTGAAGTTCTGGTGAATATTATTGAACCTATAAATCGTCTTGAAGTTGTTGTTTGTGGTTGCAATCACAAGGGAAATATTTTTAACCAAGCACCATAATGAGCAGTCACCAAGCATGCCCAGTCATCTTGTAACTGTAAAATGATGACATGTTTGTAGGCGTGTGATAGGGAAGTTCGTCAAGAAGACGTGACCACTGGTTTGACCTGTGGGCTGGACCTGGCATTGGAAGGCTGCTCACTCCACCCCTTCCCCCATCCTTGGAATGTGTGCTCCACTTGCCTTTCCTGAGCTAGGAGCTACCCAAGGACACAGCCTTGAGATAGTAATGTGGTGTTGCAACCATCTGGACTATGCATGTGACTGAACGTTTTAAAGCCTCTCTGTAAACTTACAAGATTTGGAAGTGGGTCAGAAATCTACTTGTCTTGAGGCTGCCCAAGACAAGGCATGTGGGTCGATCCCCCCTGCCACCTGCCAGTCTGGAGCAACCTGCCTCTTTCTTCCGTCTCACCTGAGCCTCCGTGTCCAGGGGCAAATTCCAGATTATGCCCAGCAAACTTTTGAGGAGGAGCATATGGAAAGTTCTAGGAGGTCTGACCAATGCAGATCTACTACACAGCCTTCGGTGAGTAATAAATGAGCTACTATCTGGAAAACATTTTGGCACATGGATTTATTTACCTCTTTGCCTTTCTGTGGTATCATTTCTTGGATTTGCTTTATCTGCTTTTGCATTTAGCTCACAGAATGTTGCTGAAAAAGTCATTTAGTGGTGAAATGATTTATTACGCTGAAGATTTATGACATCTAATTTCAGTTGGGCTTCCACCATCACTCCTTTCTTTTCTTGTTTCTCTCATAGATCACTCTCCCTGACCTGTCATCCTTCTCTCCCTAGGCTCCTAGTACCATCTTCTCTCTTCATTTCAGTCCAGCTCATCTCACAAAGTAGACTTATGTCTTTTAACTGGACTTAGCAGCTATGAGAACTTTGTTTTAAATTAATGGTGTATCATTCATTACTATTCCTTCCAAGGTGAATCGCAGAGGCAAATTTGAGTCTTTTGCCTTTTAATTCTATTTGCCTTTAGTTCAGTTTAATTCAATTCCTTTGCACCTCCAATTACTTGCTAAATCCTATATTCTTTCGTATTTTTCTTGTTAAAATTTGTGCAATTGCCCTAGGTCCAGTTCTCATCATCAAAATCTGAGTGTCCTCAATGAGTCCTACCTATTTCTTATCCAGTTCATCTTGCACATTTCTCTCAACCTAGATTTTTCTCCAGAGCCAGGCCTCTTGTCAACACACCCATCCTACCCTGGTCCCAAATATTACATACACTACTCAGCTTCCATTCCTGCATGGAACTGTGGAAAAATCACCAAAGTTTTCACAGAACACTGAGCCAATGGCATCAATCTTCCTTAGAAAACAACTTATTCTGATTAAAGGAGGGAAGGTGTACTTCCAAGGAATGAGACTCATGGAATCGTCTAGCTTCCCAACTTACACAGCGGTTGTAGAAACCACGGGGTGAGTCAGGAAAGAGGTATTTGGATACAAAATTCACTTTTAAGTTCTGACTACTTGATTTTCAGATGGTTTAAAGGAAGCTTTTGCTTCCATCATCTGAGAGTTCTCCATGAAACAGCTGCTCATAAGAAGTCTGATGCCAAGAAAGATGGAATACATTGGCCCTGAAATGGCTCACACCATGAGAGGTTATTGCCATGGCTCACACCATGAGAGGTTATTGCCATCTAATGATAACCCATATTATCATTAGAAAAACTTAAATATCTCTTTATTCATTAATTCTTTATTAATCAATATATTTTATGTGTGCCTATTACATGTCAAGCACAGAGCCAGTTGGTGACAAAATCAAAATCCGTATCAGGTCTTATATATCAAAGCCCACGTTTGCTAGACCACAGCCCGAGGCCTTTTCCTAAGCACATGCCCAGGGTGAAAATATTTTTCTCTGTTTCACTGAAGAGTAATAAAGTGATTTCTAAACCATAGTAATCATAACTTCAGATGAAAGCAGTCAGATTCACAAAGCCTGCATACTTAGGGCAACTAACACTTTTGATTCTCGGGCAATTACGGATGGAACAAAGGACAATAGATCATCTCACTCTATGATCCTCTGAGATGGTTCCAGGGATATTTTCAGTGTTCTCCATGGAGCAAAGATCTGAAAGCTTCTTCATAAACATAGATTCTTATGAGACTCTGAGATCAAGTTCAGATGAATGCAGTTTAGTTTCATGAACATGTAATACTGTTTTGAGTGCTTTTGATGATTAACACAGAAACAGGCACAGATGTAAGGCCTAGTCTCTGATTTCAAGGACGTGAGAGTCTGGTTGGGAATAAAGGGCACATACAAGTGAAACAATTAGTAAGCAACAGTACCAAATTCTATTAATTAAAATAATGCGGTGATGGCCCAGGAGAAGATAGGCCGATAGAGCCAAATAAACTACAGAAGTAGAACAAAGTATGTTAGAGAATTTAGCACAGAAAAAGGTCAAGTTTCAATCCCTAAGAAAAAATGGGCTTTCTCTACTATTAAAAGTAGAATTGAGAATTTTGTCAGGGAGCTGAAAAATAAAAAGTATCTGACAAATTAGAAAGTAATGCAAAAAAAAAAAACATTATTAAGGACATAGACGTTTTATAATGATAAAAGTTTCAAGTTGCCAGAAAAGTATAGCTATTCTAAACTTGCATGTTTCTAAAGATGGCTTCAAAATATAGAAAGCAAAAAGTGACCTAACTGAAAAGAAAAATAGACCAGTTCACAATCAGAGTAGGAGATTTGAAACAATTGTCTTGCTAACTGATAGATAAGGCAGACAATAAATGTCAGGATGTAAAAGAGTTTGACATCAAGTACAGACTGCACCTAATTCACGTTTAGCTGATGTTGCACTCACCAACTGACATATACATATTCTCTTCAAGTACATGTGGAATATTTACCAAGCTTTTATGTGCTGCCCATAAAGCGAGTTTTAACAAATTTCAAAAAATTTTGATTATACAGAACATGTTCTTGGATCTCAGAAATAAATTACAACAGACACTCAGGAAATCTCCTTGTGTTTGGAATTTAATCAATACACTTTTAAATGAATGATGGGTCAAAGAAGAAATCATAATGGATTTTATAAAATCTTTCGGACTGAATAAAGGAAGACACATGTCAAAACTTGTGATGCCACTAAAGCAGTGTTTGAAGGGAAATGTGTGGCCTTAAATGCATATATTAGAAAATAAGAAATATTAATTACCTAAACCTGAGATACTATAGAAAGAATGTCAATATAAATGCAAACAAAATAAAATAGGGCACATTATAAAATGGAATACTCTGCAGCTTTAACATAAAATGGTATATAGCTAAAGAATTAATGTGCCACGTTGTGGAAAGAAAGAAAGAGTTTGTTAAAGGGGTTATCAGGGTTTCCTCCTGTTTATATAAAAATGTATATGCATTGAAATATGTATGAAAGTACACACACTAAACTCTAAAACAATGATTCCCTATGATGATAGTATTTTGGGTAATTTTTCATGTTTTCTTCATATGCTTCATATTTGAAGAATTTAATTCATAAAAAGTAATTATTAAAAAAACTCAATTAAACTCAATAATAAAACTATTTTTATTCTAAACCCCCCTCCTCCCAAACTGATATGAGATAATGAAAGAATCATCTGTGACCAACCTCTGAAATGTGTGGATTTAGCCATTGGGTAATTTGCTTGCTCAGAGTAAGGAGAGATCAAAGAAGTCTTGTAAGTGGTGATGGTCAGGAAAGCCTTCAATGAGAAAGTCAGAACATAAGCTGGGCCTTGAAAAATGGATAGGTGGAATGCAGTGGTTCTGATAGGCCAATATGGGTATACTCTGTATAGGGGCAAAACTGTACTTCACTATAGATTAGGTTTTCTGTGTGAGTGTGCACATTGAAGGGGTGGCAGTGGAAGATAAAGCAAGCGTGATTTGATTCTAATCTCATTTAATGGCATCAGCCTTAAGTTAAGACAGAATCTTACCTTGGATATTTAGACTCTTTCCTCTCTCCCCATGCCCGTATCCAATTGATTTTCAAGTTTTACAGATTTTAGATTTCAAATATTTCTCATCTGTAACATCCT